ATATCCTAAGGATTGGAAAATCTAAATTCTACAAGTAACTTACGTGGTGTTCTCGATGATGACAAGACATCGACAATAGTCAGTCACTACATGCACGAGTCAACAACAACAACAAAAATAACTATATATTCTACACTTTTGCCAACCATGCATGCTCGGTGACAAAGTGTGTTCGACTTTTCTCCGTGGATGTTTCAATCTGATTGGAAATCGTAAATCAAAATTTTACGACAACCTACGACATCGGTATACTCCACCATAACTGGTGGCGATCATGCCTTGTGGTCACTAGTATCCCAAACATTGGACTGAAAGAGTTTAGCAGAATACCTGTGTAAGTTGTGCTATCTATCACCACGATTCAGTTCAACTACATAGTAGAGGTCACTTACATTTCGACATGCCTTCCTTACCTCCTACCTATATCTATTTACTTATGAATATCTGGAGTAATGCTTACCTTAAAAGAGTCGAGGTTAACCTTTAGACGTATATAAATCTATGCGAATACTCCGACTTGGTGTGCGGACTTTTGTTAGCTAGACGAAAACTGTCGTTGTGGTCTCAAGTTGAAATGGCCACTCTGTATTGTTTTCAAGGTGATTCCTCATTGGTCGGGCGATATCTCTAATTGACACCAAAGGGGTGACGGAATTCTTAACACTTAGAATTTTGCAAATATAAAAAGAAGACGTTTCGTTTAAGAAAAAGAAACTTGTACCGCCCACGGAAATACCGACAAAAACGGTGTGGTACAATCAAGCCTTTGAGTTATCCTTGTTAAGTTATCCTTGTTAAGATAATTAAAACCCGTAAATGCTCCCCTACCCCTTTTTCCTGCACAGGTGGCATCATCGGCCGATTGGCATGTTATCTATGTTAGGCACGGCGGGTTGGGCTAGGGTTGGGTAGGGGTTGCTTTCATTTTGATTCAAAGAATAATTTGGATATGACCAATATGACTTAAAAGATGCTATTGTTGAGTTTTAATGTCCGGACAGACAAATTCCTGCAAATAGTAGTAGCTAGTCACTTCAGGTAGGAGTAAACAAATAACGTTGGTGCCCTAACATCGAACACTTTTTCCTGCGTTTTAAGTCATGGCGCTCTATTACTAGTTGTCAGAGAGTGGTCAGGTTTTAATGGATGAATTTTGAAAGCATTTGTGTAGAGAACATACTTAAATAAGAAATGCATTCATACTGTTCGTGAGCCGTTCACCCTCCGCGTTGAAGCAATTGTGCTACTGCTTTGTAAAGTCAGTGGCAACAAACACGGTGTAGTTATGCATAATAAGATCAGTAAAAAACTCCGTTGGAAGTTAGAGCACGTACAAAGTTAAGGCATCCCTTGTTATAAAGTATGAAGAAATAGAATATAAATTTTACACAATTTCGCGATACATCCTAGCATGCATCTCGGTACGTATCGAGAAGTAAGAAAGTCCAACATGATACATGAGGGCCTGCAAGCCCTTTTTCGTAAGGCGTAATCAGGCCGTTTTAGACTTCGTAATTTGTAGGCAGCCTCCGCAAAAATCAACTTAATTCGTAATTGGACATTAGCCGCAAATCGTAAAGTCGTAATCAGCTCTGAGACTTTAACGTAATTCGTAATAGGCGGCGAAAATTTTGCGTAATTCGTAATCACTACCCCCCCTTGCAGGCCCTCATACATGATACACAATGGCGTCCAAGCTCATTCGTTGTAAATTAACCTACACCATGCAAAAGGTCATGTGTACTGGTTGTACCAGGTTTCCCCGTCTCTGCCCTTTAACCCTCTGGCATAATCAAATGATGGTTCTCTCCACATCTTCAACCTTTTTACACCTTTAAATCTAAAACAAACCCCATTCGACTTGTAAATACATCGCCTTGAATTGATTAATGTATGGTCTGGTCATATTTAATTAGCCTTTTGAGTTGCGCTGTGTTGGCGATGTTTTGGCGATAGATGACAAGGTTTAAAAAAGTCCCTGACGTCTTAGAACGCAATCTTCATAGACAAAGTGCACCTGCTACATTTCTTTGATTAGAAGAATTCGTATCTTAAGTTTTAATATATGTTATTTCAAGGTGTGTGTAGGTCATAGCATGTAATGCTACCTACATACCAAAAATCACGACGATCCGTCAACCGATTTTTTTAGTTATCCTCTCTTGAATATTCTTTAAAGAAATCGTCCTGCAGTTCCATAACAAGCTGCTGGGGGCCTTAACTCGCGTGACGTCTTTCAAAGCACAAGAGCTGCTGTGGCCTTACCATCTAAACTGCATGACCATAGCATTTCAAGATCGCGAGGTATCAAGACCAGAATCTCCACTGCAGTATCAAGGGAAGCCAATAGGGGGCCCAAATCTCATTATTTCTATATTTAGTCACACCCTACCAACCCACCAAGTATGAAACCAATCCATCCGTCGTTCTTGAGTTATCTTGTTGACAAAATTTAATCCCCTAGGGAATGCATTCGTGGAATACTTGGATTACGTGGAATACTAATATTTTCAACGCAATCGCAGAACTATACCAACGGCTCCGCCCCTGAGACGTCGCCAAAAAGATGTCTATTGCCATGCGGAACGTGGATGGAAGATAACTATGAAGAGGGGAGACAGGACAAGGCTCTGATTTAATGTTTGTGTTTTACTTTGATGCAGTGATGTATTTCATTCCTTTTATATGTAATGGCGGCTGTGTATATGTGATGTTCCCGCTGAATCAAAACCATTTGTACAATAATTGTACAACTTTTATTTCATTTAGTTGTTTCAGTAAGAAATGAATGTTGTAATAGTTGGCAGTAAAGTTAGCACAATACAGGTATCATGTCTTGTTTAACAAGATTTATGATGTCAAAATTTGAAAATGTAGGAATCTTGTTTTCATGGCCTGCCTTGTTTTTTTTCACCCTATTGCATTAGATTTAGAGTCTCCGGAGGATGTCATCCATAAAGCTAACTTGCTGTGGCCTTACCAATAATAACACAACAACAACACAGTGGCCTTGTTTTCTATTTATGTACTAGTATTCCATCCTAAACATTATGTCAGTTATAGAGTCGCTGTTTGGATGTACAGGCATTTCCTATGTTACAAAACATTTCACAGTCCTTATTACATGAAATCAGAATAATAAAATCAGGCCACACCAATCTAATTTGTTGGTTCTCGGATTCGCCTCTTCGTTTTTTTCTGATTTGCAAAAAAAAAAAAATAAGATTGTATTCTTGGTCCTGAATCAACTGAAAAATAGCTCATGTTTTGCCCCAACCAGCTGAGGAAGTACCTTTTCTTCCTAGTTGTTACAGTTTTCCCATCTATCATTTCAGTGGTTTGATTAAAAGTTCAAAATTCAATGTTTAAATTTTAACCCAGCCTTTTGTGTTGACTTAATGGCTCATTTTGTAGCATTTAAGCCTATAATAGGATGCCTAGACCTGTTTTTATTTTTATTTTTTTTCGCCCTGTCGCTTCATATTTTTTCTGAAAAAATCCGAGAACCAACAAATTAAATTGGTGTGGCCTCAAGACTAAAATGCACATTTTCACCCTTCCTGACAAAAAAGTACAATTTTTTCCAATTTCACACACAATAAAAACAAAACAAACTCATGAACCATGTCCCACATTACAAAAGAAAAAAAATCATTTTAAAGGACACCTCATCAATATGAGTAAGCTACATGTATCAATATCTACAACAAAATGAAGTATGAAGCACAAATGCAGCTTCAATGGTCATAATCTATATTTATGATGTTTTTGCACAAAACCCTAGAAAGTATTACACTTAGAAACCTCAACACCATACACAATACTTTTCAGACCATCTAGTCAAGCACAAGTTACTACAGCAGGGCTGGAAATACCACCTGTATATGCTGGTCAGTGCAGGTAAAGTAGGAGCTGTGAAGGTGCATGTATTTTTTTATCTGTTTACCTTTACTGAGGCCACACCAATTTAATTTGTTGTTTCTCAGCTTCGTCTCTTCGTTTTTTTCTGATTTACAAAAAAAACTCAAAAATGCTCATATTTTGCCCCCAACAGTTGAGGAAAGTCCTTTTCTTCCTACTTGTTACAGTTTTTCCATCTTTTTATGCAGTAGTTTGATTAAAAGTTCAAAATTCATTGTGTTAATTCTAACCCAGCCTTTTGTGTTGACTTCATGGCTCCTATCGAAGCATTTGGGGCTATAATAGGATGCCTAGAGGCCTTCAAAGGCCTTCACACATTACCTACAATGCACCATACTCAATATGCACAACTCAAACCATGAACCAGCCTATTCAAGACCCACTTTCTGACAGGGCTCGAAATACTGGGTGCATGTGCACCTTAGTGCACCCAAATTTGGAGCGGTGCACCCAATTTTTTCCTGGGGGTGCACCAGTGCACTCAAAATTTTTGTAGGTTTATGTATGTCAAGATGTCTAGTTGTATACATGTACATTTAACATCTAAGTGTTAGAAAATAATAAAATCATTCATGATTCTTGTACTACTTTTCTTTAGAAATGAAACATAATTAGTTTTTGTTGACATAATACTTGTTTTTTTTACATGGTGCACCCCAAATTTTTTTGTGCACCCAATTTTTCTAGGTTGGGTGCACCAACTATTCCCAAAAATGAATTTCGAGCCCTGTTCTGTCATTTCTTGAAACTTAGAGCAACATGACAGGCTCGTCTTCTGCAAGACTTAGAACTGTGCTAATGCAAAATCACCCAACTACATTGTAGTACTAATACCTAACTGATAGCAGCATTCGTCTTGTGGATTGTAACTTTCTTCCTAATGCCTAACTCTTTTAACTATATATTTGCACATACACAATTGCAGGTGAAATATAATATTATCCTTTTTGGTCCCCTTCTGTAGAGTTCACATAGGCACAGAGGTGTGTGACAATTGTGAGAAGTAAATTAGACTTTATTACTTACATGTACATCTAACTGTGAAACCTACATGTATGTATCAAGCCAAGAAAGAAAAAAAAAACTGCTTCATCTAAAGTCTGATTCCATAGCTCCACCCAATTCTGTCAAAACGTAGAAATGCAAAGATGCAAATATTTCACGAACACACTCTCTCATTGGTCAAACTGCTAATTGCCATTCTCTCATTGGTTGAGCTTCTAATTATGATGCACAGCAAGGATTAACAGAACATACAGTACTCTGCCGCCTTGCTATGAGTCGTGCTTCCCACAAACCCATTTGAAGATGCAAATATTTCACGAACACACTCTCTCATTGGTCAAACTGCTAATTGCCATTCTCTCATTGGTTGAGCTGCTAATTACATTGTATGATGTACAGCAAGGATCGGTCTATTAACAGAACATACAGTACTCTGCGGCCCTGCTATGAGTCATGCTTCCCACAAACCCATTTGAAGTCTGTTTTCTTCTGAATGTCTACGAGGTCTTGCACTGATGTCCACTTGCACTGGCAAGCATAGGCCCTACTTCCTGTACATTCATGAAAAACATAGGAGAAAATATTGAATTCTCTATTCTTAGCACAATCAAATTCTCTATGCTAAGCACATTGAATTCTCTATGCTAAGCACAAATACATGCTTTATGAAATTCCATATAGAATATGGCAAAATGTAGATATGGAAAATATTTTGGAGGAACGTTCAGTCAATCTTGCATTGTTCAAGTAACTACTGACACAGATGAACTTTCATGATAGTATCTATTCTTGTATGGTATACACAATATAATCATTACAAAAATCTTCCTTGCATATTCCAAACTTATCTTTTATTTTTGTTATGAAGAATTTAATAATTATTTCTTGAAGTATCCACTTTAATATTTACGGATAGTTCATTAACGTTTCTCACCTTTTCTCTTGTTAAGTTTGGCTTTGAGTTTAGCGAAGTCGGGGACGTTGTTTCTGAAGAACAGGTACTCGCATGTGGCGTCCCACTCGTAGTTGTCGTAAAACACGACGCGAAAGTCACAGTCCGTGCAGCGTAACTGGTCACACGATCTAGCGAGACACAAAAACATGCAAACACCTTAGTTTGCCATGAACTAGCAATATAGTTACAAACAAACAAACAAACAAATAGAAAGGTAACATTTGAAAAGCAAATGCATAATGTTTACCTTTGCATATGGTCTGCTCTGTTAATCCTTACTCAAACACACTCATATGTATGGTCAGACAGGAGTCTAAATCCCTCCTGCTATGAAATTGCAACATGATGTAGCCTAACACCTGTTACCATGGTAACAGACGTCTGGTTCATGTCATTGACCAGGTCAGAGGTCAGTGTTTGGAACAGAAGAAGAAACAGAGCGAAAACAATATGTTTTCCTTCGGTAAACATAAATATAATTCATATATCACAACGAATCTAAATACTTCGATTTGAAACAGCTTGAATCTGGAGACACACAAGATTACTAAATTATGAAATGGCTTTCATGAACTTAAGTTTAAATACAAAAGAGAACCACAACCTTCTTTTTGTTGTTCAGTGTTAAGTTTACCTTTGGTTCATACTACTGCCCAGGCCCATGGCATGCTTGCTTCCTCCTAGGTACAACACTGCACACCTGTCGTGGGAAATAACATGTAGCCATTAGATAAGGAATGCATCCCCAGTTATGTTTTCTTACTGTATGTTGACTATACTTCACGATCATGAGTAAAATTACTTATTAGTATATTACTCCCATGCAGATAAACAATTACCAGTGGTAAAGTAAATCTCATTTTTTAATCATTACTGGGGTACTTTTGAGTTGGAAAAATCTGCAAACCTCTAGAACATTAGAAATCATTGTCAAGACAACTAGCCAAGATTTCAAACACGATCCAAAAAGGACCTAGAGTATTTTACTAACAGTCCACAGATAGGAAGTTACCTAGTATTATGTTTGCCAAGCTTAAATGTTATAGTTACTAAATCATTCTGAGTAAAGAGACTCTTTTTTCACAACCAAGACTAGTGTTTTATTTACAGCCGAAGTTTTGGTGACCGTCTGTCACCTTCCTCAGGGAAGTTCTGACTGGTTCACATTGCACTGCAGCACAGGTGTCACTGCTATAGATGCATTTCCAAACGTTCAATATTTACATGTCCACCTGTGCTGCAGTGCAATGTGAACCAGTCTGATAACATAACAGAAATGTTGAAGACAAGACTGACCTTCTTTTCCCCTCCACTCCTCGTGGAGTCCTAGGTGAATTTTGGGCTGGTGCTTTGTCCTGTAGATGAGAGAAAAAAACCCATCAGCACATCTGTAACTACAATGTAATTATATCCAGACAGACCTGAGTGTCTGCGAGTTCAGTTGTATATGGTAGGTAGCAAGAGAGTATATAGGTGTCCTCACCATCAGTGGTTCCAGTGGTTCAGGTGCTTCACAGATGTCATCTATCATAGCGTCCAGGTCAGCATCACCTGTAGACGTCTTCCTACAGGTGAACAGACAAATGTCAAACATTTTACACCATGGTACTAGTAGACATTTCATGAGGGTCTGCATGGGGGGGTCCTGGCAACGGTTAACGGTAAATTCAGCAGGGCCGATAACGCTTAACGGTAAATTCAGAACGGTCGGTAACGCTTAACGGTAAATTGACAAGTTTTTTTCGAGCTGCACTGGATTTGGTATCTCGCTTTGTGAGAAAGGTGATCACTGACAAAATTACGTATACCTTACATGTAATGAAGCATGCATTAAAGGTATGTGTTCCCTGTGTTTCCCACCTGCCCTGGTCCCCGAGTGCGTCCACAAATACCGGGGTGTCCGAGTCGACGTCGGCCAGCTTGCATTTTTTTCAGTCTGCCCAGTTTTACCGATGGATTTTGAGAGGGGATCGCCGAAGGCGCTCGTATTAAATAAATCTAGGAATGCTTCCCCGGGAAATTTAGGATTTTTAAGCCTTCAAAAACCACATTTTGAGAGGCAAATCATGGTGTTGAGAGTGTTTGTCGGTCCTTCTGATGTTTTCATATATTATTCAAGATTTTTGTTAATTTGGCTGTCAAGGTTGACGGATTCGTTAAAAAAATTCTGTAACTCTCCGCAAACCTCCGGAAATTGAAGGGAAAAACTGTTTCTGGTTAGAGCCGAAGGAACCGAGCGCAGAGAAGCGCGAGTCGAGCGCCAAAGCCAAGGCGCGAGCAATGGTAGGGGGTCCGGGGGCATTCTCCCCCGGGAAATTTTGTATTTTTAAACCTTCAATGACGCATTTTCCTGCAGTTTGAAAGGCAAAATTAGGCGTAACGAAGAATTATTCATTAACGCTTAACGCTGATTTTAGGATGACAAATAACGTTTTACGTTGAATTAAAACGACCCATAACGCTTCACGAGGAATATACTGATAACGCTTAACGTTGAATTAGAGCGGGCCGGCAACGATTAACGGTAAATTAGAATAGCCCATAACGGTTAACGAAAAAGGGCATGCAGACCCTCATTTCATGTGTCTGTGTGATGAAGTGCTTGGCTGGGTCAGGTTATTTCATAGTACAAGATGTACAACTGTATGTTCTTTAATGGGGCCCCGCATGCCCTTTTCCGGAGAGTGCAATTGGCTGTTTTAATTCTACGTAGAGCGTAGAGTCAAACTGCTCGTATTTCTTATTCAACGTAGAGCGTAACTGGCCCATTTTGTGTAGAGCGTAATTCGCCATTTTGATTCTACCAAGGACATAATGTCTCTGATTCTACATAATGCGTTATAGCTTCTCCTGGTTTATCGTAAAAATTGTAATGGGGAGGCTTCTTGAATTCAGCGTAGGCTCTCAAAACTTAGCGTACAGTGTTGTGGGGACCCTCCCTCCCCCATGTAGGCCCTCTTTAATAAGCTTAGTAGCCTGGAACCCAGTCTTGTTACAATGTATTGTAGCTACCATTAGTAGCAACCAATTGAAACAGACTAAATCCAACAAGCCTGGATTCCAGACTACATATTATAAGTTTAGATCGACTGAACTAAAAAATTTCCTTTGTGATTCTGGCATCGAGTGACACTTGACTTGCAAGGTTTCTCTCACAACCATTACAAATTTTTCTGCACAATAGCATTCATTAATATCAATAAATCAACTGAATAAATAAATAAATGAACTTTCTAGATGCAGGGCTCGAAATACTGGGTGCATGTGCACCTTAGTGCACCCAAAATTGGAGCTCTGCACCCAATTTTTTTCTGTGGGTGCACCAGTGCACCCAAATATTTCTGTAGGTATTTTTCTACATATCAAATGTATGATAGTGTACAGGATATACTTGCCATCTAACATTCTAAGTGTCAGAAAAACAACAAAATTTTTGTTGTAGTAGTCTTGTTTAAGATATTAAAGTTAGCTCCTGTTTTGTTTTATGTGGTGCACCCAATATTTTTTGTGTGCACCCAATTTTTAGGTTGGGTGCACCTTTTTCCAAAAATGAATTTCAAGCCCTGAGATGGATAAATAACAACCTATACTGGTACATCTGCTTGGAGATTACATGTCATTGACACTGTGTCCAATTACTTTATCTTGTCACTGACAAAACCGTTATGTCTAACTACAGATAAGGGCACCCTCCTGTTAAATCATTCATTACATATTCTGTGGGAATCGGAGACAAGACAGCTGGCCATTCTTCACTTCCAAGGACATGTCAAATATAATTCTACCTCAAGACAATCGGCTTGACTCAAATGTTAGGTCAGGTCATTATTTTTCAGTAAAACATCTTTTATTATGCAGATAAGGCCACACCGACTTAATTGTATGGATGACGTCCGCGTGCGCATTGATTTTCACCTGTTCCCCCCCCAAAAAAAGATTATGTCCTCCAAGGCTCTGGCCTGGCTCTAGGCCTGTTACTCCATGGTAGTTAACGACAATACAGAGCCGGTGGTAACTGTGGAGGATGGCACCCGGGCTACCGAAGCTCCACGACTCTAGCCTGGGTACCAAACCTTAGGTCGGCTTGGCGGTAATTTTTTGTCGCTTATGTACGGCTTGTAGTATGCGTCGCTATGTACTGACGCAAATTCACAACACCAGATTTGTATTCCTGTAGTCTAGTAGCATCTTTATTTTTGGCCGGAATTTTTTTTATTCCCCCGCGTGCACTAGTTTAGGAGTCTTCAGAGGATGTCATCCATAAAATTACTAGTAAGTCGGTGTGGCCTATGCCCTGGAAAAAAAAATGTTGTGTTTCCTGTTTCCCCACCGACCCTAGAAAAAACTGCCGACCCTAGCCTTTTTTTGGTTGACCCCTGCAAGGGATATGAGTGAGTTTTTTTCGAGCTGATCAACCTTTTCTTGCTCCATGATCTGACAGTGGCACCTGAGTGATAAAACATTGTACAATTGGTTTTCTAGCATTGACATTGAAAATATGTTATGTGTGCTCATGCAAGTTTTACTTTGTTAAACTGTATTGTATAAGTTCATATTTTGCCCCAACAGTTCGGGATAGTCCTTTTTAAGTTCAAAATTCATTGTTTATTATTAAATATTAACCCAGAATTTTGTGCTGACTTCATGGCTCTTATTGCAGCATTTGGGGCTATCATAGGACGCCTAGACCTGTTTTTATTTATTTATTTTTCGCCCTGTCGCTTCATATTTTTTATCAAAATTCTGAAAACCAACAAATTAATGTTAAATTGGTGTGGCCTAACGCCCCTAATGTTTTCAGGACTGAAACAGGAAACACAACATTGTTTTCCCCAGGCCTAACACTGATCATTAGGAAAACAGAGTCACAATTCAAATAGACAGAACACCTGGCCGACGCCCCTTTTGCTAGGCAACCCAGGTAATCCAGGTATAAACAGGTGTGTTATAGGTCAAAGTTCATGGCAGGAGACCTACTCCCAGTTTATATAGTAGACTCAAAGTATTTTTGCTTTATGTTTGAAATTACTGGTGAATGATATTTCATATGACCACAGTTTTCATTGAAAAGCTACAGTTGATGAAAGGATCTTATTTTGGGCACGTGGAAAAATCATAAATGACGAAGAGACGTTAAAGTAATTTGATTATTTACCATTAGACTAGCAGTTGTTTAGAATCTGTTTAGAATTGTTATTTTATTCGGAATCCCTAAATAAATGTTACGATACTTCTAGATGCAATTTAAGAATGCTGATATTAGGACAAGCTTCATATATATCATGATAGTGAGACAGTTTGCCGGGTGCCCCCCACCCACCTTGCAAATCCATAAATGATTTAACTTAATTTGTACTAAACAAAATACTAGTAACGGATCTGACGAAAAAAGCTTACTGATTGTTTATCAATACCAGTCGATAATATAATCACAGCAGTATATTTTTGATAAGGAAATGATAATTTGAACTGGCTCCCTGCTCCCCCCTAAATTACCTGGTTGGGACGGTCGTCTTTGTTTTGGACACCGGCGCCTTCGACGTCTTGGAAACACCTCCAGATTTCTCCTTCTTCTCCAGAAACTTCGTCTCCACCTCGTCCAAGAGGTCGTCTATGTCGTCAGCCATGTCAGCGTCTTCGCTTGGCCCTACTTTGACGATATATCAGCTCATTTCTTTGATCAAAATGTTTCTGTCTCTCGCGACCACTTGTAAACTACAGTTGCCAATGTGGCGGTAAAATAGGCACGGCATTCTGCGCCTCAGATTCGCATCACATTTCTTTTTCTAAAATGGCATTTCAACTAAGCATAAACGTCGTTTTCTCCTAAAAGCTAATACATCTTATTTTTGATACCCTCTGTTAAATTTATGATTCAGTGGGGCACAAATATTAGTGGGAAGAATCGGAGATTTAAGTTTTTTTTTTTCAAATTACACTCTAAATTTAGAAGCGCTTTGTAGCATACTCGGTAGTCGGCGCTTGTGCACTGTCCGGTTTATTTCCAGTCGTTCCGTCGGAGGTCAGCATTGCAGCAAGCGTTTTCATATCGATTTTCCTGCTTGCGCCCAATTCAGCGAGTTACAAAACCTAATGCTTGAATGTGTGTCTCGACATTTACTCATATTAATGTCAGGATCAAGTGTATCAAACAAATTCGTAGGGGTGGATTATTATGCATTCTTTTACTTAACACTTTGGACTTACCAGGAAACTAACTGGGTCTAACATACTACGAGGTCATTTCATTGTCCGTTAGGCCATGTTGACTAGATTATATGGATGACATCCTCTGGGAACCTCAAAACTGACGCGAGCGTGCGAATAAAAAAGTTTGTCAAAATATATATATAGTTGCCTTCATTATGAAATCTATGTGGTCATAAAGGTTGAACAAATGACTAAACACGCATATTATAGAATTGCGAATAATAATAATAACTTTTCATTTTCATTTCTTCACATTTTTTTTCTTTTCCTGAATTGATTTCGGCTTTCTATGACATTAGTATCGTTTTCCAGTACTTTTTTTGCAGCAGACGACATATATTCACTCATTTTGTACGATTTACAGTAAAGTCGAAAACGTTTTTTTTGGAAATAGACGAAAATTCTTGCGCACGTGGGTGTCATCCATATAATCAACAAGGCCTTAGTGTAACTTGTTGCTGCTCTTTGTATAGGAAAGGAGAGAAGAAAACTACATCATATAGGAAATGGATAATTAAGTTAAACATAAATGTACAACATAACGGCATAAAGGACAGGACATGCCATTTTATTCGCTGTTTCTTTGTTTGTTTGTTTGTTTGTTAAGTCGATATGATTGTTAAAAGCACATAGCCTTTTCAAAGATTGTGAACTACATGAAAATCATGGCATACATCTTTCTGCAACACACAGTATGATGTATAAATGAAACCATACATAGTATGGATCGGAATTCGTACTAAAACAAACATGCATTACATAGCAATCAATTAACAAACGACATAGCATTTTCATTAACTGATTAGCATATGATAATCACACCCGTCATTTTTGTTAAGATTACAAATTGCGTCAAATCGCGTACCTCATTTAGTACAGCTATTGGCACACAAAACTGACAAAATCACCCACTAAGTAAATGCCAAACTATGGCCAAGAACACAATATAAATCCCTGAAATTATGGCATTTTCAACCTGAGGTAGCTAGCCTTAAAATAAAGACGATGAAACACTTCTAGTTATAACGTCGTGGAACGATTTTGGCGCATTTGGTGTATTCCGGTGTATTCCTGTGTATTTCGGTGTATTCCGGTAAATAGTCAGACCCTTTTGGCGTCACTGAATTTTTAAGCAGGATGTGACAGAACCAGCTACTGACGTCGACAGGATCCAAGACAGCCTTTTCCGTGATAAGATCGCTAAATTTTGCAGGGAAAATGTAGGACTACCCCCAGAAACTCAGTTTGCTATCGTGCGGCGATCGTACGACGCAAGTTGAAGTGGTAAGAGTGTCCTACTACTAGCTGCTTGTTGCACATCCCTAATTTTGCACACACTCTTGGATTTCTGACAGGATTTTCTTGTCGTCTGCCAGCTTGTGGAATTTCTCCAGATCAAACGACCCGTCTTGCCTGGTCAGGCTGCGGCACATCTTGTCGATGGCCGTCGTTGCCATGACCGTCTGGACAAACCCGTCCACCAGTTCATCCAGCCCGAGACCCTGCTTGTCGAAATCTTCCCAGTCCACGGTCAGGAGCTTGTCTACGTCGGACTGCCGGTCTGCGTCGGCTTGCCAGGCGGTCAGGCTGTCGTCTAGAGACAGGTTGGTGCCCAGGTAGCTCCACGACGGTGCGGTGTCGTCCACTTGGTCCGGCAGGGGTCGATCTGCACGCCTGCTGAAGGAGCAAGTCGGCCTGAATCCGCTAGGTGTCGCATGGACCATCAGCCGCACGTCGAAGATGTACCTGTGGCCGTCCTTGTCCGGCACGGTGCCCGCGTGGTGCCACCGCGACGTCGACCAGTTCTCGTGCCCGATGAGGCTCTGGACGACGAACCTCTCGTACCCGAGGTCCTGCGCCATCACGTCGTCCAGTTCCTTCTGTGACGTGACGGTGTAGATGCCGTGTCCGGAGTTACTGAAGGGGTTCTTGATGACCGCCTTCCCGCCAACAGTCTTCACCACCGCCGGGAGCTGCTCCTTGGTGACTCCGATGAACGTGCGAGGCGTCCGGATGCAGAGACCGCTTCTCTCTTGGTGCTTGTTGAACTCCTCGTAGGCCCTGGCCGCCATGAGCTTGTTCCTCGCGCCGGCCAGGCAGCAGGAGATCGGGTTGAGGAGGACAGTCTTGGTGGTGAGCGGGATGCGCGTCCAGGGTTTCTGCGTGACGTAGCGGAATGCCGCCCGGATGGCGTGCCACTGGCCCTCCCCGTCCCTCACCTCCATCACGCCGTCCGTCCAGCGCATGGTCTGCTCCTCCGGCGGCTGGTCGATGCGGCTCTCCACGACGAACACCGGTTCCTGGGTCAGGTCGGCCAGCGCCAGTTTATACCCGCCGTTCTCAAACACGCTGTCGTCGTGCACGAGCGCCAGCGAAGCGTCTCGCAGCGTCTCGTCACACTTGCCGCCGATGACGTCCCGGAAGGTCTCCCCCATGAGCTTGTGGTAGCCGCTGTCCATCCCCGTCCCGTGCGGCATGTACTTCTGCCCGCAGGGACACGAGTTCACCTCCAGGACCACCATCTCTCGCTGCCCTGTGGCGGTGATACACGGGAAGAGGTCCGCCCCGGCCCAGCGGAAGTGCTCGGGTTGGTACGACAGGACCTCCCGCACGGAGTCGGGACTGATGTCCTTGTGCGTGGCGCAGTATCTACAGGAGAAAAAAAAAAACATGGCCGGCAAACGTCAATACTTATCATATATGTTCACACCATGATTACATACATACCAATGGTGACCTACTTGTAATCATACCCTCCGCCCTAAAGCGCCCGACAGGGCGTTGGATTGGAAATGTGACACGTTTAAACCGACGTCGTTCTGACTTCAGAACCAGGGACAGAGGCATAAGGCGGCGTCCGTGTCCAAAAAAAAAGAAATTATAATGACTGCCAATACGATCCAGTTGGACGACTTCGACTGTATCGCGTGTCACAGAAACAACCTACAGGATTTACACTATCGTGTGACGTTTCTCCATATAAATTCTGAAAGGATAGTTTAGATAAATCTACAATGCTTACTTGTTTAGTCATCCATATGACTTGGAGTCGCAAATCGTATCGAGACGATAGTAGTGGTTTGTTAGCCTCCGTAGTAGGCTTATACTATAGAACTGGGGGTTTGGTGGTCTTCGGCTGTTTTCTGATTAGCCCAGTTCTAAAAAAACCGGGGGTAATTCAACCAGGCCGGCCATGTTGTCTGTATGCAATCAGAAAATAGCACATAAAAGCTCCCAAAGACCCTGAAGACCCCCAAACCCCCAGTTTTTGGTATGCCAGGGAGGCTAGTGGTTTGTTGGATTCACGTGAGTTCTTGGCTAAAATTTGCCATGTACTGGTGTATTGTAGGTTATATATACGTTTTTTAAAGCACAAAAGCACCACAGGTGTCCAAGATGGCTTCCTTCTATGGCAATCACTCGTGATCTTTATTTGCAACTGGATACAGATTCATGTACTGATACATAGTCATGCACAGATACAGATTCATGTACAGATAGAAACTTCAGTCCCTACACCTGACTGAGGGTTATAGTTGACACGGTGGCCTTTGCGTGGATTTATATAAGGTGGAGAACAGGTTGCGAATCTGACACCCTTACCTGGAGACGACTTGCTCCTTGTCTAGTTGTAGGAACTCCGCTACTGTCGTATGAAGGCGGGAGCCCTGTAACACCGGGTGGAGGAAACTGAAAGGCCGGGCCTGGCTGGGATAAACCACGTAAGCCATGACTGTGAGCGAACGATCGAGGAGTTCTGACCAGAAGAAACGAGAACAGACGACAGTGTGACACGCCGGCCCTCTCAGCATCAGGTGAAAAATGGCGGGAAAATCCCTTTGAGACGGTATCCAGGGAGTGGCTACAGTGTCAGTATCCCTTACACGCCCCGTATTGTGAACACCTGTGGTGTGATGACCGATTCTTAAGAAAAGCTGTCTGGACAGTAACAGTACACCTTGCCTGGTGAAGAAAAGAGATGAAGGACATTGCAACACGATACTTCTGGTCAGACGGATCATAAGTAGCCCTTATGTAGGACACTATACCCACCATAGGGCTGTGTACATATTGCATTTTGTCAGAGAATTTAGAAATACCAACGTACTTCACAGTGACCAACCGCGGTCATTGCATAGTTCATAGACAAATCTGAACTTTTGAAGAACAGGACAGGAATACTCCCCTTATTTGACTCAGTCAACAAAAATGACACCAATACACGTTATGCCCTTTCTCCTTAGGCCACACCAAGTAAATTTTATGGATGACGTCCTTTGGAGACCCTAAATCTAATGCGAGAGGGCGAAAAAAAAACAAGAAGGGCCCTAAAAAACAAGATGCCTAGATAAGAAATATACTAAGAGACGACAAATGTTAGGGCACAATTTGAATGAGGTGACACAGTGTAACAAGCAAGAAGTCTTTTATTCGTAATCAAAACAGCAATAAATCAGGTGGAACAGCAGTTGTCGTCCTGCCCTGTTCTCGCGTTACGGGTTACACGTCAATCTGACGATTTGTGGCACTGTCGTGACTCTTTGGTCATAGTTACAGGAAGTGGAATTTCTTGTTTTTTTTCTAGGAACAGGCCGAAATCAATGCGGGCGTGGACGTCATCCATAAAATTTACTTGGTGTGGCCTTACCGGTAGCCCCTCCCTCCCATACGCTACTAATTGCTGTATTTTCGACACTGTTTTCAATTTCATCGTGTGGGTTCGTGTGGCGTAGCGGCAGAGTGCTCGACCCGGAACCAAGAGGTCCCGGGTTCGAGTCCTGACATGCCACCGATCTTGTGCCCTTGGGAAAGGCACTTTACACGACTTTCCTCACTTAAGTGGAAATGAGAATTGTCCTGTGCTGTATTTGTACTATGTGTTGGTGGCGGCATAAAATAAGTTGATATAACTTGAGTGTGCCGTCGCCATGTTTGGTCATGAAATGTTGAAATAAAAAAAAATCATCTCTCAGTCTGTAAGATTTAATTTATTATATTAATTAATTAGGGTTTTCTCACTGTTGTCAGCTGTTGTAAGAGTTTGAGCTTGTCAATCCCCTGGTTTTCTTTCTATATTTGTGAAGCAGACCCTTGTGGCTCTCTGGTGAAGAAGAATTGTTGAGATTGAAATGTGAGAAAGTACTTTCATTTGTGACTTGTTTTCGTGTATTTTACCATAGGCTTCTATGGGCAAAGGTAATTGTACTGTCTGCCCTACACCCACTCACACGCCAACAGAGACATCCATTTCCAAACCTCACAAACACAGCTACCAACACGTCCACAAACTGCACCGAAACCATAAACTTCTTGTCGAATGCAATTTAGTTTATTGCAAATTCTTGCCCGGTACCAAAGGCAACATGAAAAAAGATGGACAAACAATGAGGAACAATATAAAAAGTGACTACTCTTGTCTAAAGGCTGAAATGACATTTTGAAATAAAGTTTATTTCGTCTCCCACGCACCGAATTTTACGTGCAGTATTTCAAAGTCTTGTATATATACACCGCCTTTTGTCTATTTCAAGGGAACGAACACCAATTTTGCTAATTGCACAGCGCAAATCAAAATCAACTAAGTTTTAAATATCGTTCCAGCTTATATTATATGCTGTTTTACATGTCGTAGAAAAAACTTGCAACATTTGGTGAAAAATCTAAGTCATCATCAAATTTATAATTACACCTCTTGTGCTACAACAACAAAATAACAACAGCAGTTTCTGTCGTTCCCTGTACGGATAGGAATGTCTTGCAATGATAGTGACTGTTTTTTTTATCATTAATATTGATATGCATTTGTCAATATATTAACATCATTTCTCATATTTGTTCCCTTTGTTTTCTGTACCTTGTGGTATTACTTAGTTGCACTTGTTTCATTTACTCTGCACCTGTCTCATACCGTGTTATATTGTCATACTATGTTTTATCTAACTATATACAAGGCCCTATAACAACAAAATAATTTAAAATAACTTGAATGGAATGAAATGAAAGTGTTTCACCCTAACCCTAACCCTAACCCTAACCAGCAAGGCCCTATAACGGCAAAATAAATTAAAATAACTTGAATGGAATGAAATGAAAGTGTTTCACCCTAACCCTAACCCTAACTCTAACCAGCAAGGCCCTATAACAGCAAAATAATTTAAAATAACTTGAATGGAATGAAATGAAAGTGTTTCACCCTAACCCTAACTCTAACTCTAACCAGCAAGGTCCTATAACAACAAAATAAATTAAAATAACTTGAATGGAATGAAAATGTTTCACCCTAACCCTAACCCTAACCCTAACCAGCAAGGCCCTCTAACGGCAAAATAAATTAAAATAACTTGAATGGAATGGAATGAAATGAAAGTGTTTCACCCTAACCCTAAGCCTAACCCTAGCCCTAACCCTAACCAGCAAGGCCCTCTAACGGCAAAATAAATTAAAATAACTTGAATGGAATGAAATGAAAGTGTTTCACCCTAGCCCAAACCCTAGCCCTAATCCTAACCCTAACCAGCAAGGCCCTCTAACGGCAAAATAAATTAAAATAACTTGAATGGAATGAAAATGTTTCACCTTAACCCAAACCCTACCCCTAACCCTAACTTCACAGTCTGTTCCCAGTTTTGAACCATTTTGTAGAGGCTCCTTACACCACGCCGACTTAATTTTAAAGATGACATCCGCGAGCATTGATTTTCGCCTGTTCTAATAAAAAACCACCTCCTTCGAGGCTCTAGTCTAGGTGCCATCCGTAGTCCATGGTAGCTAGCGACAACAGGGTGCCAGTGGTAACTACGCAGGACAGCACCCAGGCTGCCGACGCTCCACGGAACTCAATCAAGAACCCAGTGCGAACTTAAAAATTATGCAAAAGGACAGCCTGTGCTGGCTTGTCGTAAAAGTCGCTATCACGGTACTACTGCAATTCACAATTCCATGCTTTGTATTCCTGTGGTTTAGCTGCATTTTTTTTGGCTGGACGGGCTTTTTTATTCGCACTAGTTTTTTTGTGTCTTCAGAGGATGGCATCCATAAAATTAAGTCAGTGTGGCCTTACTATAGATTAAATGTGCTCTTGGGGTCGTTCCGGTGCTTCTGACTGACTAGCTGACTGGCTACTGATCATCTGACGTGTCCGACAGATCGTAGATCTCTTCCAGGATTGTCCTGTCGTCAGCCAGAACCGCGAATTCTTCGAAGTCGAAGGAGCCGTCCGGCCGCACCAGGCGGCAGCACATTCTGTCGATGGCGGTGGCCGCCATGACAGTCTGCACGAAGCCGTCCACCAGGTCATCCACGCTGAGACCCAGCGTCTCGAAGGGCTCGGAGTCCACGGACAGAAGCCTGTCTGTGTCCGACTGCCAGGCGCCGATGGTGTCCTTGATAGACAAGTTCGTGCCGAGGTGCTCCCAGGTATCCTGGATCCCGTCCAGGGTGTCCGGCAGCGGTAGGTACGCGCGCCTGTTGAAGATGCAGAGCGGCCTGTAACCGTCAGGGGTCGCATGTACCATCAAGCGCGTGTCGAAGACGTACTTGTTGCCGTCCTCGTCGGGTAGGGTACCCGCGTGGTACCACTGGGAGCTGGACCAGTTCTCGTGCCCGATCAGGGCCTGGACGATGAACTTCTCGTACCCAAGGTCCAGCGCCATCAGTTTGTCCAGTTCCTTCTGTGACGTCACGGTGTAGACGCCCTGGCCGCAGTTGCTGTAGGGGACCTTGATGACGGCCTTGCCGTGTAGAGCCTGGACGACAGTCGGGATCTGGGCCTTGGTCACCCGCATGAACGTACGCGGGATCCTGATGCGAAGCCCCGTTCCTCCCTGCTGCTGGTTGAAGTCTTCGTACGCCATGGCGGCCAGAAGCTTGTTCCTCCCGCCGGAGAGACAGCAGGCGATCGGGTTGAAGACCACGGTCTTGGTGGCTCCGACGGGGATGCGCGTCCAGGGTTTCTGCGTGACGTAGCGGAACGCGGCTCGGACGGTGTGCCACTGGTCCTCCACGTCCCGCACCTCCATGACGCCGTCCGTCCAGCGGATGTTCTGTTCTCTGGGCTGGGAGAGGTAACTCTCCACCACGTACACGGGCTCCTTCGTGATGTCTGCCAAGGCCGCTGCGTAGCCGCTGTTCTCCAGGTTGTTCTTGTCCAGCACGACCGCCAGGGGCCTGTTGCGGAGAGAAGGGTCGCACCTGCTGGACACCGTGTCGCGAAACGTCTCGCCCATGAGCTTGTGGTAGCCGCTGTCCATCCCCGTGCCGTGCGGCATGTACTTCTGCCCGCTAGGGCACGAGTTGACCTCCAGGACCACCATCTCGCGCCGCCCGGCCGCGGTCACGCCCGGGAACAGATCCGCCCCGGCCCAGCGGAAGTGTTTAGGCTGGTACGTCAGGAGTTTCCACAGAGCTTCCGGCTGGACCTCCTTGTGTTCCTTGCAGTATCTGGAACAACAAGAGAATGAATGAATGAATGAACTGTATTGCTCGACAGTTGTACAATGTATGGCAACAATGACAATGTGAACAATGCAATCAAGTCTATTCTAAGAGGCCACTAGTATTACTACAGGAAAAAGAGACTACTAGTATTATACTACAGGAATGTGTACTAAATGGCGTATAACATGAAGGGTATTAGGCGTTGCTATCTGTTACAATACTTTCTCTTTTTTGTAATGCACTACATATATATTGGCCTAACCTATGATGTCTTACCCATGATGCACTGAGAACTGTCATGGCGCCATGACCTGCGCTAGGCATTATGGGAATTGTGAAAATCATGAATACATACCTGATGATTATCTGTTCGGTGTCGAGTTGCAGGAAGGCGGTGACTGTGGGGTGTGTCTGGGCCCCGCCCATGGCAGGGTGCAGGAAGCTGAAGGGGCGTGACTCCCTGGGGTTGACGACGTAGGCCATGACGTCACGGTGATTGACAGGCAGCAGCGGACAGAGAAGATGTCGTCAGGGGCGGTGTGATGACCTTTGTCGCGACTTTTCCCTTCCTGGAGACAAGAGAAATACATGACTGTCAACTACGTATATCATGAACATTGGAAAAGAAAACAAACGTAGAAAACTAGAAAGTTAACATTTGCAAAGCAAATGCATAATGTTTGCCTTCGCATATGGTCTGCTCTGTTATTAGTAATTCTTACTCAAACACATTCTCATATATAGTGACAGGAGTCTAAATCCCTCCTACTCTAAAATTGCAACATTATGTAACCCAACACCAGCTACCATAGTGACAGACGGTCTGGTTCAGATCATTGACCTGACATTGTGGAAACTGAGCAAAAAGAAAAAAAATAACACTGTACGAAAAGTCACAATGGATATCGGACTTTGGTATGGCCACACCGACTTAATTTTATGGATGACATCCGCGCGCGCATTGATTTTCGCCTGATCTCCAAAAAAAAAAAAAAAAAAAAAAGATAACGTCCTCCGAGGCTCTGACCAGTGCCGACTCATAAATTCCACAAAAGGCCAGCATGTGCCGGCTTGTCCTATACGTCGCTATCTACTGCCGCAAATTCACAATACCAGCTTTGTATTTCTGTGGTTTAGTAGCATTTTTTTCGCCGGAATTTCTTTTTTATTCGCCCGCGCGCACTAGTTTCGGGGTCTTCAGAGGATGTCATCCATAAAATTAAGTCGGTGTGGCCTACATCCCACTTCATCAAGTATAGGGACTGAACCGTAATGAGACCATGCTTGGGGACAAAAGAATAAATGACGCGTGAACGTCCAACAGTTGTCAATGCTAAAATTGTGCAGCTATCCATGCAAATTTGTATTGGGTGCGATCTCCCAGTGTATATTATATACACACCTCACCTCTCAACGTAACCCCACATCTTATGTGTGTGGGGGGGGGTCGTTTCTCGAAAAACGAAAAAAAATCGTACAATGTCGTGAGAGGGCAACAGAGTTTGCTGAATCATGGATACGACTTACATGGATTTTGTTCTGTTCATTTCCCAATAGCAACGTACACCCTCTTAAAACGCCATCGGTAGGAGGGACGGCAGGGGAATAATAAACCGATCCGGGCTGTCAATCAAAATAAGCAGAGTACTGTGATTGGTCTAATGTAATGACGTTTACGCATGTAACTACTAGGTCTAGACCGGGTATCTGGGCGTGGAATGTCTTGAGGGTAACAAGTGGTGAAACGTGACCGAAATGCAAAACATGCTTTGAAAGCCCGAAGAAGCTCTACATGGGGGATTTGATAATGCTCATCTGTAAATCTAGGAATACGGCAACATTTAGACGCACATTCCTATACGCAATGAGCTAGATATAGATTTTGGTACCTGTATGTTAATTGGTAAAAATAGGCATCAGGCAGGGACACAACTCAACGTTCTGTGGTAATGTAAGGATCCAATATTCTGATCCATGTAGTCCCCCCTATGGAAATGGTATAACCCGCAACAGTAGGCTCTAGTCCAGACTGGTTAGATCCAGTTCAGCCTTGCACATGCCTTCACCAGAAATTCAGAATATACACTACAGTCTCAGAGAACCTCTCGTCTCCGACAAGACAGGGCAAGGAATGGAAAATTACAGTAACGTTTGGACAATCTGGCGTTGGACAATGCGATAGTCATCATACGGAAAATTTGAATAATTAGAGCGGACCGGCTATGGCTGGCGATGAATAAAATAGCACGCTAGGCCGCATACAGACCCTCCTGTAAAAGCATGTTACATCAATTCAGCACCAAATTCTTCTAGTTAAAGCAAACAGACAGCGAGCTAGCGCGGAAATGAAGGCCGTGCAATATATCCTTCGGACAAAAAGAGGACCTTTGCAAGAAATATAACGTGTTAAAAGAAAAACAGACCATCTATACCGCAGACGAAAACATTTGTGATAACAGGCGCTGTGTCTGCATATTGATAGTGTTTGCCTAGCACATAGTGAATTCGAAATTAAATATACATTCTGCCTTCATAACGCATTGCAATGGATTAAAAAAAAAAGAAACAATGAATTACAAAATGTCCCAAGCGCATTGCATTAGTGCATATTCAACCACTATTAAACCAAAGGTTTTTTACGTTGAGTTGAGCGGAATGGAAACGCTTGATTACGCCTTGCGAAAAAAAGAATGGCATGCCGGTGCATTATGCACTGTACTTTTACCGAAGCCTTGGCGAAGAAAACAGACCGAGCGTCAATGGCGGCTGGGCAGAGATGTGCGCTAAGGCTAGCCTCCACCAGGCCTTTCTACGGGAATACGGATCGTAGGATTCGGCGAAAAAGAGAGTAAAATTGGCCAAGGCAAGGGAGTCCGGCTGCGGGGAGGTAGTTTCTTTCCCTGCGCGGCCAGTCAAACCTACAAGGCGGCCAAACTCCCCTGGCAAATATTCTCATATACATTACGCCAGCGTAGTTACTCTATGCTAAGGCGACGGAGAACTGATATTTAATCTCCAAGCAGATGTGAAGAAGCCGGCTCAGTGTTTAACGCCAATGTCTCGAGGGCTTCTTAATATATGCGCCTCTCTAGTGGTCCGCAGCGAAGGAAGCAAACATGCGGAACACTAGAAAGGCGAATAAAAAAGCTTACAAAACACGCGTAAAAAACACTACTGAGCCGGTCCCACCATCTGCTTGTTGAATAATGAAAAATACAGGCTCTGGAAATATACCGACCTTGAATGAATGGGCGAAAGGCAGGCAAAACCGTCGCAGAGCGGGGAAGATTGTCCTATGGCCGTTCGCCCACTAGTGCTCGTCACAAGGCCGCAGAGCCAGCACCCCGGCTTTTAAGGAGGACCGTCAAAGGCGGATGAGTGAGCGGGTGAATACACGTTGTCACACGCGCTCAGCTAGCCTCTGTTCACGTGCTGAGCCAAAACGGAGTCAGCGGTACAGGCACACGTCCGGCAACTGGACACCAGCGCCACGAAACACAGCCCTCTCGCCTTTTGATTGTCGTTCGTTATTCTCCTACAGGCACCCCACGTTATATACCCTACCTACAGAGCCGGTTGAATCCGGTTGGATACTACGCGCTGTACCTTACCTCACCTACTACTACGCCGGTTGGAGCCGGTTTTTTGATACTACGCGCGCAGTCTAGGAACCACACCTACGTCATTATAATGTTTTCGTACATCGCGCCACGGTAATTTGCATAATGGATCTGCGGCTTTCCCCGCCGGTTCGAACCAGCTTGTGCAGATAGCCTCCGTACTACAGGCATTCAGCCAGCGTTATTTCTATGGCTTGGCATGTGCTGCTTCCTGATTGTATGTCAGTATTATTATTACTACCCGATTTTTGGCATTCGTCCAGCACGGTAGCGATTCAGTGAACTCAAATACACTATCAGATTTTACTCAGACACGCCAGAAAAATAGCTGAAATTAAGCTGAAAAAAAGACCCGCGCCGAAGCCTGTTGGGGAGGCTATCGTGCAGGGCGGTTTGGTCCGGTCCTGACATCACGTGCACGCCAGGTTGGGTGACATCATCATGATCATTTATTGGCCGATCATCCGAACAAAAGAAAACAGCAAAAGCCCCATACAGTATAATATCGGAATGCAGAGCCTGCTATGGAAACACTGATCATGTAATTGTGAAGCTGACCCAGGTTTCACAGTCTAATCTAAAGCTTAGCGATGTTACTAGTGCTAGCTAGACGTTTCCGCATATGATATTTCATTGCAAATTTTGCTACGCATAAACGAATTTGATGGTTCTGTGGAAAAAAAAATCGAGATTCGCCCCGTTTCAGTGAGTACTATCGCTATTTTAATAGCGACAGTATACCGTTATACTGTATTCCGTAGCGTTTCTCTTGTACAGGCCAGCTACAGTCCATGGCCAGGTCCCGTGAATATGGCTCACAAAATTATACCACATTTCCCCTGAGCTATATAGACCATTTGCAACATGAAATACGATAAATGTACGGCACAGAATTCTATTGAATGTTAGTCACCATTATATTTCTTGGAACTGGCCTTTGTTTGCAAACGGTCATGCAGCATGGCGCTAAATACATGATGGAATGTTTGGAGGTACATGTAAACAAACCCAGGCGAAACTGAGAAAGTACAGGACTCGCTGAGCGCACGCTTCAAAATCGATAAATGGTTGAAATGGTTTCTCTAGTCTCGTATACTTAGTACTATATTGTATAGTATATAATCAAAAAAAGGTCCAAACCTGCGGTCGCCAGCCAGCGTTGAATTAGAATTAGTTACTGACCTAGATCTGTAAGAAAGCTGAATTTGAAATCCGCTGAAGCAATTTGCAAGGACATTACATACTATTAGATAGTCCCTTATGATATAATGTCCTTGGCTAAGGAAAGGTACAATGTGTTTGAAATCCACAGCTATATATAAGGGAAATCCAGTACAGGAATTTCAAATTAAACCATGCCAAATGTCAATGGACAAACCCTCTAACCTGTAAGTATATATGCTATGTTTATGTATATTGTAAGGAGAGCAAATATATTATTAGGCCATCGCAAGTAAATTTTGTGGATGACATCCTACGCAGACTCCAAATCTAATTCGATAGGACGGAAACAAAACAAGGTGGACAAAAAAAACAAGATTCCTACATTTTCAAATTTTGACATCATAAACCTTGTTCAACAAGAAATGATACCCATATTGTGCTAGGTTTACTGCCAATTTATAATACATGTATTACAACAATACGTGACATCCATTGTAACTGAAAGATAAAAGCTTTCAATCAGGCGAAAATCAATGCGTGTGCTGATGTCATCCATAAATATTACGTGCTGTGGCCTTAGTCGAAGCCACGAACCGTGATCATTTAATGGCATCACGTGACAAGTGCGTGGCATGCCATGGCTGGAGCATGCACGCGTCACGTGATAGTTATCAATACTACTCATGCCTCTCAAAAAAACTACGTACTGCCTTCATTACTATAACGGCAATTCTAATGAGGGGGCGTGAGGGGAGGGGGGTAAAGTTGTTAAAATTCGGATTATATACGCCATGTTTTCGATGTAGGTCCTAACTTCATTTACTGTACTGGTAGATTCTCGTAAATTTTGATAGATCACCAACTTGTCTTGTTTGTATCTATATCGGTTTTACCCACCTTGTAATTATGCATGTATCTTGTCAATGTGTTTTACACTCATTGTATATTTTTGAGTAGAAGGTGGTATGTAAGCAACTTGTGCTTTTTGCCCAGTACTCAATAAATATATGTGAATAAAATAAGATAAAAATACGCCAAGAAGGTTCTGACTTCTTGAATATATATATATGGATAATAGACATAGCCTGGATACCACACTACTCCCAGGGCATACACAGGATAATTCCTTGGCTTCAGAACCAACATGTCCCCAGGGAAAATGTGTGTGTTGTATACACTGACAACACACAAAATGTACCGTCCCTGTTTTGAAAGATGCATGCACACCCTGACAGCACGTATTTATGAGCCGTCCCTGCCTGCCGTATCTCCGGTTCTCAGGTGCGGCTAATAAGTCATCCTCTTCCCGACAGGGCCTGTCCGTTTTATTACCTTCGTCAGAAGGCTATGTTGTCGTACTCTCCAAGCAGAGGTTGTGGGGGAATGATCGTTAGCCTTTTATATATCATGATATGGCCCGTTTTTTGTGTGTGTGTGGCCAATTGGATACTGCCTGACCAATTTGATACTCTATTTTTGCCGACCCTAGGATCTGCTTGGAGATTAATATTTTCGGTTTGGCTATGGTGGAGTCAGGGAGTGATACCCTGGAAGCCAGAGTACAGCGGGTCGCCGCCGGTTTCTTCTCGGCCCTCCAAGCAACTTTACCCGCAAAACACGATCCAGCCGGCCAGGGTGGTTTAGCGAGCGGGCGAAAAAAAAAGACGGGCCGAAAAAACAAGGTTCCTACATTTTAAAATTTTGACTCAATCATTGTACAAATGGTTTTATTCAGTGGGAACATCACATATACACAGCTAGCATCACATATCACTGCATCGGAGTAAGAAACAAAACATTAAATCAGAGCCTTTTCTTGTATCCTCTCTTCATAGTTATCTGCCATCCACCTTTCGGCATGGCAACACATCTTTGCCCATTTTCGGCATGTTGACCACTGTCAGAAGGCAACAAAATTTGTTTCATAGTTTTTTTTTCCAAAATCAGGCGAAAATTAATGCGCGCGTTGAAGTCATCCATAAAAATTACTTGCTGTGGCCTAACCTCGGTTTTCACATTATCGCAAATGTCTGTATGCCCAAGCGGATACCTCAGTGGGAATGCTACCTCTACGTAGCATACAAATGAGCTATGATATTCATAGCGGCCATGGATGGCAATAATAACATAGACAGGCTGACGTGTGTGGGCAAATCAAGTTCCCAATCATGGGATTTGCAGAGGGAAAGGCTACAACTGGAGACAAGCAGTCGCAGTGAGTTTTTGGCATGTGTTGGATGTTTCATTAAAAGCAGGACACGTTTAAACACTTGATGTCATGCAAGAACGAATGTATAGTAGACAAACTATGTAATTATGTTTCCAGATGTTTCAAAAAGAGAGAAGAAAGGACAACTAACAGTAGATGATAGGTAGTATATTGTATTGTTGTAATATATAGACTCCTAGCATTTAGCATTAGAATATAGCGTTCCAGTATGAAATAATATGTTTTTTATCCTCTCGACCACATTTGGTCACATTTGTGCATTTAGCCCATCTGGGCAAGAACATGCAATAAAGATTCATATCAATATCATATCAATTAAAGGCATCCAATGCAACGTACTTTGTTTTAATTTTGTTTGTTTATTTATTTATCTAACCAGGGAACATATGGCCCTGAAGGTTGCTTTTCAATGTACCCTGGGGGGGGGGGGGGCAAGTTCCAAACACAATGAAAATAATAACAATATAACATACAGTAATCGCTTAACAAAGTTATGTACAATCAAATTAAGATAAGTTAACTTAATGGTAAGCACGAACTTTAGTAACTGAAGAATAAGTGGTCCAAAATAGACATACATCAAATAATATCAAATCAGATGACATTTCAAATATAATAAGATAGTTTAGTTTTGTATTATTTTTTTACTGCCACACATTGTACGATTGTACGATTGTCGAGCAATAAAGTTCATTCATTCATTCATTCATTCATTCATTCATTCATTCATTCATTCATTCATTCATTCATTCATTCATTCATTCATTCATTCATTCATTCATTCATTCATTCATTCATTCATTTATGTGATTAGGTTTTGACCTATTGGAGAAATGATAAAAAGTAGTATTGGAGAAATGATTACAAGTAGATTTTAGGTTCCCTGGCGGCTTTCCTTGATACTGCAGCAGAGCTTCCGGTTTTTTTATCTCGTGCTCGGGACATGTTTTTCTACGGTGTTTTGGTGGTAAATAGACCTTATTTTTTTAATATAAAGCGATGGGTACACTCAGTTTAAAGGCATCCAATGCGATTTCAGGGCAGCAAAACTGGAAATTTTCTGAATAAAGAAATCTTTATGATATTGACACATACTGCTTCACATTAGCACATTTTAATCAGTATTTCATACTTTGAACAAACAAGCCCCATGCTGAGTCCTTTATTTTATGTGTATTACCCTAAAAATCAACCCAGGGTCCTTCCAGTAACCATTTTTCGTAAGAATTTTGGGTATTTTTGCTCCAAGAGGGTACTTTGGGATAGTGTGGTTTTAACTCTGTATGTAGATAAATGACTACAATATTGACTTTGAAAAATATGGTTTCCAAGCCCTAAAAACTGCACTGGATGCCTTTGATATAAAGCGATGAGTACACTCAGTTTAACTACATGTATGTATGCAATGAAACAACTTCCAAATGTGCAGGTAATGTACATTCCCGCCCGAGGGCAGACAGTGACTAGCGTTAGATCCATCATTCAGACCGCCTGCTGAGGGAAAGTACTTTGTTGGTTTGGGGGGAGTCGGCAAGATCGAGAGAAAAAAAAATAGCTTCATTTGAGTTGAAGTTGACTCTCATAATTTCGCCAGGGTCCAAACTTTCGGACCACCGCATTGAATTGAAAGAGATATGCTAATCAAAAAGA